CAATATTCGCTGCCGATCGGGTTTTTCTGTGACGTATAGGTGTTGGCAGATTCTTTGCCCAACCGATTGTCTCCAATTTGAACATCAAACGTTGGCGCAATACTTGCCTAAGATACACTTCTTTTATGGTGCATAGCCGCAGACTTCCATTTATTTTACAAAAATTTATAGTCTCCAAACATTACTTAAAATATGCCATTTGTTTACTGTGAGAAAGGTTAGGTTAAATTTTGTCACTTTCTTTTCCATCGAAAAATGTTACCGTCTCATTGCCCACTTCACACAAATAGTAATCAGAGGGCAACGAGGGGGCATCATTTTTTGTAGCCAACTTTTGATTGAACCAATCGCCCGTAAAATTTCCTGGAAAATCACCACATGTGAACACCGTTTAAACGCAACTATAAACTGTCATGTAATAATAAATAAAATATATGTTTACGTACGTACATATCTCCTTATTTTCTCTTTACCCTATATTTTATAATGAAAAATTGCAATGCAGCCTCAAAGACTTCTACAAACAATTTACAAAGGACATTCACCTATGGAAGAAATATTATGATTTATCATCACCTGAGGAGCAACCGCTACCCAAGCCTTACGATAACATAGAAGAAATGCTATACTTAATTGTATTGAAATGTCTACGACCAGACAAAGTTGCGCCCGCGGTGAGAGTAAGTACTTCCATACATATATACATACATACATACATATAAGATTTTTGTAGTGAAAATCATCATTGTAAGCAAAGCAAACGAGAACAAGTTGTAAATTAAAAAAAAAAGTGTGTACTATTAAAATAACAACTAAGCATATCAAACAATATCAAGGAATAAGAAAATAGAGACGGAAGTTCCAATAATTCATATTCTCGCTGAAGTTATTAATTGGTGGAAAAAAATCGTCATTCATATCGTTATATGTATCGTTAGCGGTGTTGTTATTATTATCGATGCAATTTTTTGTTAACTACCTTGTTATAATCATTGTTAAAAGTTTTGAACAAGAATACAACCAGTTAGCTTTTCAGCTGAAACAGTTAGTTTTCTATTACCGATATTACCGATATTTTTAATATGGCGATGTCCTACGAAATGTTACCTATCTACCAGTAGAAATACTAGTAGCATCACATCACCAAAATCCACAGCAAGCATTTGTAAATGCCCTCACTCGGCTTTTCTGATATTACTATTTGTATGTCCATTAGGGTGAATCGCAAAAAAAAAAAACTATTTTAGAATTCGGATTCGGCGGGGTGTGAAAAACGTTTATAACCGTTTCTAGTTAATGCACGAAAAATTGCTGCCGGGTTGATAGATATTTACTATTTCCACATCGTCTAATTACTGACATTAGCTGCGCATACCTTTAGGTGTTTATCAGCCTGTTATCGTTCTTTTTTTTTTTTTGCTTCCTTGATGTATCATTGCCTTTCTTTTGTCGCGGTCTTGAGTATTCATTGAGCTCAATGGCCTACACAAGAAGTATTTCTGACTATCTACTACTAGGTGATTTTCGCAGTATGCCATAGTTTCATTGTCCGACGAATAAGGATGTTCTTCTTGCTTGCTTTCAGCACAGGAGTGTCGGCGTCCATTTTAAGCAATTATTGCCAAAACTCCTTTTTTTTGAAACCGCTAAGAGAGGAGATAACTATGTATTAGATTTATATCCACAGGTTTCAATCGCTGCTGATTCCTTTAAAACTGTTACCGAAGGGGTTGTGACTCTTTGAAAAGAACATGAATCTATTCATGAACACTACCAAATTAAGTCCAAGCAGGGCTCTGATAGCTGCATTTAATAATTTTGGGAGAAACCAAAAAAAAACAAAAAATGGTAAAACATACTACATAAACAAACAACATACTCAAGAAACTAAGGGCCAGATATAGTGAAACTGCGGTATTAGTTTTCCCCCCTAACGTAAGGATTTTTTTTTAAAGGACTTTGAATTTTTAATTCATTGTAATGTAGAACAATATTATGGGTACCAAATGAAAGAGAATATTCTGCAGAACTAAAAAATAAATTAGTTTTTTGCAGGGACATAACCACTATAAGTTTCATCGAAAAAATTTTGTTCCATAACAGTTATTAGATGAGAAATATTTTTTATTTCACCAATAAGAGTTATAACCCAACGTTTAGTTTTTACGTTGCCTGATAACTGTTATTTGCCAACGTTTATTTTTACATTGTCTTATAACAGTTATTTCACTCTTCCTCTTTTATATTCATCACCTTTATCTTCTTCTCCGTTTTCGTCAATATTCTTTTCTTACAACGTTTATCAGACAACGTAAAAAATAAACGTAAATAAGGTTAGGATGGCGAAATTTGATGATGTAATCGTGTGTATATTAGTTCTTAACATAGTTTTTTTTTTGCAAAAATACATATTGCAAATTTTCAAGGATATTCAAGGATAAAATTTTGAAAGAACTATTTCAGTACCTTTCGTTGTTCTAATGCACCAAAAATTTAAATGGTTTAATTCTACAGAATTTTCTCTTTTCGTTGATGACCGTGTTGTTATTCTACATTGCACTAAGTTTTTTAAATAATTTTTTGAACTAAAATTTTAAAGTCCTCTTAAGAAAAATCCCGACATCAAAAATTGTGATAACAATCGATCGGGCTGAAATTTTTTTGCTGTAATTTTATATATTGTTTTACATTCCACCGAATCTGAATTCTAAAAATCATGTGTCTTCGATCCACCCTAATGTCCATTCAAAATGTTACTGTACATACATATTTGCATATTATGTAGTTTTCATTTTCATTGCTTTCACAGTCTGGCAATGAGGTTTGCCAAACATTAATTACTATAACCTTCGATCTTGATAATTGTAGCTGCGCAAACATTGTCTCTACATTTTGCGTAAAATTCAAGCGTTTCCACTGAAAACTTCTTTTCGTTTTGCAAGCAAGCTACTACATATCTACATACATACATAGGGATATGTATACCACTTTGTATATCCAAATTTAACCAACTTTCGTGCTTGTCAAGCACTGCTTGACCGACATAACATTAATGCCAACTGTCAACTGCCAAATTGTGAAATGTCAAATGACAAACGCGCTATTTGACTGCTAGCTTGACGTCAATACATTTGGGCCAAAATGGCCAGCAACCATTGGGCAAAGTAACAGTGAACAAGTGAATATGGAGGGAGCTACTAGTGCCCATTTAGCCAAGTGCATGTATGCATACGTATATATGTATGTATGTACACCTGCGTTCAACTAATTAGAAACGAAATTCAAAATGATATTGTTTTCAAATTATGTTTATTTTTTTTTAATAATTTTCGTTTAAAATATAGTTCAATCTGTAACAGAAACCACAATAATAAAAGTTTCAAAGCTTGCAAAAATTGTAAGAAAAATTCATCAAACTTCAAAAAAGTGTCATCAAAATTTCCAAATTTTTAATCAGCATATTTAGAAAATGCAAGTGTAAGACTCAAGTCATTAAAAATTATCGTTGTTTTTTTTTAGAATTTTTTTTTTGTGGAGTATGTTGCGCATTTTCTTCCGCAACACCCTCGACAAAAAAAAATTCAAAAAAATCAACGGTAATTTTTAAGGACTTGAGACTTGCACTTTCTTAGCCTATAATTGAATGGGCTACAGAACTGCATACCTGAAAATTTTCTAAATATTCTGAATAAAAATTTGGACATTTTGATGACAATTTTTGAAGTTTGATTAATTTTTTCGCAATTTTTGCAAGCGTTGAAACTTATATTAATATCATTTAGAATTGCGTTTCTAACTAGCTGAACGCAGGTGTACATGCGTATGTATGTATGAATGTATAAGTTTACTTGTGAATGCGAACATATTTGTTGGTCTGCAAGGAATTGCATAATGACGGATGTAGTTAGCAACCAAAATCAGACTTGGCAAGCTAACCACAGCCAACAAGTTTTCATTTTTATTAGCCAAATGACAGTCAAAGCTTTTCTGCATTGTTTGTTGTTGCAATTCTGGTTGAAAATTTTAGAAGGAGTGGGGGTCCATGGGGGTTGTGCCAAACAATATGCAACGACTATATAAATACATACATACATGTATGTATGTAAATAATCTCAAAGTTATGCCAACTCGTATGCTTCGATGCTATGTAGCAATACAATCCTTATCCATCTTTTTTTTTAAATTTCAGTTTTTATTATTTCACCAAAAATTTGTTCACAACTCTCAGCATTTCTTCTACAATCTAATCTGCACATGCATTTTACAGACATTCATTACGCGCAACATGGACCAATCATTTGTGGAGCCACCACTCTTCGATTTGAATGCCTCATTTGCTGACAGTTCGCCAAGAATCCCATTGGTCTTTCTGCTATCGCCTGGCTCGGATCCAATGGCCAATCTATTCATGTACGCCAAACAGCGTAACATGTATGACAAGTAAGTTAATTAAAGAACTCGTTCGATAGTCAACCACCGGACAGACGCATTAGCACACACATATGAATGTATATATATATACATATATATATAGACATGCACACATACATGCATACATACATACAATAGAACTGACATACAATTGTGAGTGCCAAGTAATTTTAAACATACATACATACATACATACATACTATATGTCCTGTGTCGATGTACAAATTATTATGAACAACTTAGTACCAGCAACTGGAGACCGGAGCTACTCTCCATCCAGTGTCCAATAAGTTGTCAGCTCTAGTTATTATTTTACATAGTACGTAGTACACACTACTCGTACGAGCATTATCAAGCAAGCGCTTCATCAAGTAGGGATACTTCGACGTATTATTGATGTAAATTTTTATCGAATTTCTCTTTACTGCTTCATCATTTATGTCAAGCAGTTGCACGTAGACTAAGTATGTGTCCTTTTTTATATTTTATCAGTGCAAAAAAAAAGATAAAGTTTATGGAGTTGTAATTAAATCGACATTCGTCTACGTGTAGACATCAAACTTTTTTCATTTTTTTTTTGTCCTTTCACAGTTTGCAGCGAGTTGTCAGTTTGGTGTACAGTGATGAAGTAGCTGCAGAATAATGCACTCAATTTTTAATTGCTTGCCATGATTGTCAATAGCAAAATGTATAATCAATGTAACTTTATAATGCGTACCGTTATAAGTGGAAGGACGTTTATTGAATTTATTTTTTTTTTTCGTTTTTGTGAAAGCAGACAATAATGAAGAGAAGTTGTTATTGAAGAGAAATCTACAAATTCGATATACATAAGTTACACTCACATGCACTTGATTAAGGACACTTTTTGATCCTTAGTATTGAAAGTTTTTATTTTGTTAATTTATTTTATTATTATTTTATAAAATAAAGCATATACAGTGAAACCTCCCTTGGACGGACACTCACCGTCAGTCATTTTTTGTCCGCCCAAGAGAGGTGTCCGCTCAATGGAAGGGAAGCTTATTTTAGAACTTTTTAATGTTTTAATTAATTGAATAGTCACTATTTCTTATTTGAATAAAAGATATTGATATTACATCGTTCATAAGTTTTATGTTTAACTTTTTTCAGTGTCAGTATAGTTTTCATGTTTTTATCAGTAACAAAATCCAATCAGAAATCTAAATTTTCGGTTCATGTATTTATTATTATATATTGTTATAAATTGATCAGAATTGGAATTGGATTCTCCAAGGGTTTCTGATAATTCAAATAACGAACCTAAACCACTGCGCAAACAAAACTAAATGTGGGCATAAAAATCACATTTTATGCGGGAAGTCCCCCTTTTCCATTTAGTAGTCCGCCTATGAGGAGTTCGCTTCCGCTCAACGGAGGTTTTTGTTTGATTTGTTATGAAAAGAAATCTTAATGTCCGTTGATAAGAGGTTCGCGTCCGCTCAATTGAGGTTTTTGTGT